CCTAGAGGCCACACCATCTAGGTTCCAACAGAGCGACACGCAGCTTTCAGCAACAATTATGACTAGGGACGACTCAACCTCCACTAAGTGTGCGATCACTTAGTTGTTGAGTCGCTGCTAGGTAGTTTACTAGTCCGTCCCTCGGAGGCCGCAACGCCCTTCACGGATTACGTTTTTCCTTAGCGTTTTGGGTCGTCTAATAACGCCCTCGGACTATCTACTGGCGTCCCACAGATATATCCGCCCCCGACAGCCCTCAAGGAACTGCTGTTGAGAGTATGGTGGCTCCCAACACCTCTGAATTAATTGCAATGGGTCGAGTATGGTACCCAGTCCAATCAACTCGGAGCGGTCTCGTTTTCAATAAATCTAATTTTAACAACCTAATCTTACTAACTAAACCTTAATCATATCAGCCCGCATGACCCAAGATTCGCCAATCCCCACTCAAACGCACTTGTGGGGCGCACTGCTAATCCTGACCCGCGGCTGTCTCCTTAGCATCCGCGCACGTGTTCGAACGGCTAGACGCGTGAGCCTTTCAACAATTTCAAACAAAATTGTTGAAACCACCGCTGTGCACCATTGTAACACGGGTTTGGGTTCCTCTCTCTTTTCTTCCTTCTTTCTACTCCCTCTACCCGTATTCTTACTTTTATTTCTAAACCAAGGGACTCCAAAACTTTTAACAAAGCCAACTCCACGCCACGTGGTCCTAAGACGATTGACCGACTTAGGATTCTACACCCAGTATGACGTGACCTAAGCTCTGAACAAAACCCTAGAGTCACCTCTGCTGCCACCACCAGACCAGTAATACAAGAGCAATGATCGAGGTCTGGATCGATCACGCTAATTAATCAACCTAGGGGCTTGATCCCCACTATAAACGATGACCTTGAGTGTGGAATAAATTACACGGTAATGATGATTCCGATTCGATGTTAGAATCGGCGCCCAATACAACTCTGCCTCGTGTGGACCACGTGACCAGGACAAGTTTACACATAACCAAATGGAAACAATAAAATGCAAATTAATAACAAATTTAATTTATTAAAAGAAAACTAAAACAAAATCTAAATGTGTTCACTCCCTATCACTTTAACACTCCCTACTTGACCTGAATGGCAAATGAGAAGACTATTTCTATACATAACCATAGCAACTATACCTTGGGCGACCAGCTAGATGTCTTGGGGAGAGGTAAGATGTTTGACCTCTCCCAGCTGCTCCCGTATTCACACTGATTTTTTCCTTGTCTGGACTACCCCAGACAGAGTATTGTATCCTTCCGCCTAGTCCGTCAAAGTCCTACCCAGTTACTAGCAAGGTTTAAGTTATAACAATTAACCTCTGTTGTACTTAATTGATCCAGACTGGTTGAATTATTTTACTGAATTAAATTACAAACATCTAACGGCAGAGCTGTTCCCGATCACAAAAATGGTTATTAAAACTTTGAGAAATATTAGACATGTCAACCCTGCTGACCTATGACCGCCGGTCACTCCGCCTTAAAAGTTAGATCCGATTCGTGACGTCACTGATGGTGACTTAAACTCAATAATTAGAATACTCTTGATATTGTATCCAGTACTATTATACAATACCATTTTAATGCAAAATGAATAAAGGCTAATTTTCTCTAATTTACTGAATACTATAGGATGATTCATTATACGCAGCTATGAACAACGCGTCGGTTATTTCCACCGCGAATCCCCCTGGGGGTCAGGTCACCATGCGGCTCAGCTTCCCATTCTCTTTTGTCGATAAACCACTCTGGATAATTCTTACAACAGCCTAGTTTGTTACAGTCTCTGAACTCCTCACAGCCCGGGATGGCCATCTCCTTAAAACTCCATTCCTTTCTCATGAGTAGGGCTACTCCGCCTCCTCCCCTACCTTCCCTCTCTTTCCTTATTACTGTGTACTCCTGGGGAAACACGGCATTCGTTATGATTCCAGAGAGTTTTGTTTCAGTGAGTCCGATTACATCTGGGTTAACTTCTTGTGCTCTTTCCCTTAGTTCACTTGTCTTGCTTGTGATCCCATCTATGTTCGAGTACATCACCCTGAAACTGACTCTCTTCTGCTTCTTCTCTGGTGGGGACCTTTGGGATCTGGGGTGAGTGGGAGCTGGGGGGGACCTGGCACGGGGAGATTGGTGGAGGAGGGAGGGCTTGGGGGTGGTGGGGGAGAGGGGGTGGTGGGGGGGAGAGGGGGAGGGAAGGGGGGGAGAGTGAGAGGGGGAGGGTTGGGGGGGTGACAGAGGGAGGGTTGGGGAAGCATGGGGGAGGAGAGGCTTTGGGGGATGGGGGGGCTTCGGGGGGAGAAAAGGGTGGAGGGCTTAGGGGGCGTGGGGGAAAAAGGAGGGCTGAGGTGGGTGAGGAAGAGGGAATTAAGAGTTTAGGGGAGTGGGGGAGAGGAGAAGACTTAGGTGGAGTGGGGGGCTTAGGGGGGCGGGGGAGAAGGGAGGGCTTGGGGGTGGAAGAGACGGGAAGGCATGTGGGAGAAGGGAGGGCTTGGGGGATGGGGGAGAAGGGAGGGCTTGGGGAGAGGGGTGAGTGGGAGGAGGGGGGTGGGTGCGGGGAGGGTGCCCTAGGTGGGTACTTAGTGGGGGACTGACAGGGGTTGGGGCAGGTAGGGTGTCTGTTGGGTAGAATGTGTGTGTGTGTGTGTGTGTGTGTGTGTGTGTGTGTGTGTGTGTGTGTGTGTGTGTGTGTGTGTGTGTGTGTGTGTGTGTGTGTGTGTGTGTGTGTGTGTGTGTTGCTATTACGTGCAACAGATGGCGCTGTTTTTGAAAAAAAAACATGTTTTTATCTATCACAGGTGTGGCATCTATATAGTGGGTATATAAAAACATGTGCATATGCGAATGAAACGTTATGTCAGAATTTCAAAGCAATCGGTGAAGAATTTTAGGAGATTACAGCGAGTGTTGCTCCTACAACCAACAGATAGCGCAGTTTAAAAAAAATGTTTTATTCCTGTCACAGGTAAGGCATGTATATAGTAGGTTATAAAAACACTCGCCTATTTGAATGCAGCGTCGTGTCAAAATTTCAAAATTTTAATCGGTAAAGAGGTTTCGAAGATTTCTCTCGCATGAAAAACTCATAAAAAACACAGTTTTTCCAAAAAAGCATGTTTTTTCCTTCACAACCGTGACATCAATATACTATGTATATAAAAACCTGTTCGGATGCGAATGAAACATTGTGTCAAAAATTTAAAAGCAATCGGTGAAGAACTTTCGGAGATTAGCGATTTTGAACAAACGAAAGATTTTCATTTTTATTTATATAGGTTATGGTCTACGATTAATCATCATTATTACAAATTCTCTAAAAACGTGTATAAAACATAGTTTAAAACGAGATTAAAACAATAATATGTCGTTGCAATGAAGTTGTGAAAACGATAATATGTTTCCTGGGACCCGAATCAATTGGCCCGATCTTCCCATACTGGGCCCAAGACTCCTCCTCCTATGATAGCACCTGTTAACATCTGACAGGCTAGTCTCCTAGTGAGGTTATGTGACAGCCGGATGCTCTATAGAGCCTGCACCCTGATATATAGCGTAAGAGTCGCCACACTTCCCAGAGTATGGACAGTTTCTGGGATCACAAATCCGACGCTCAAGCGTACACTTATTTAATGAAAAAGAGAATATTAAAGAGACACTGACAAGTTCTTGACCGGATAAGAACCACCACATAGGCAGAAGAAGGAACTTCTGGAGAAATATCTGCTGTAGGTGAAGACAATCTCTTAACATCCCGCTCTGGGATAGCCTCCGCTGGCTCATTTTCCTGCAGACTGATAGCCTTTCGGGAACAGGCCATCAACGTTCATGTCGCCCCGGCCTGTGAGTCGTCCAGAATGGAGGGTTCGAACTCCGCCTGTTGTATAAGTGACCCCTTGGGTGATTGCTTGCAGCCCAATTCATGGGAGATGACATAAAAAACAGTCCCTTTTACGTCTACCTAAATTTTAGTATGAGTTCTGTCACTGAAGAATAATTGTAAGCAATATTTTTCAAGTAAATAAAATCCCTCATCGTCCTACTTTTTCATGAATACAGAATATTACATAACCTGTTTTTTGCCATCATAATGTCTGATTTTGTCTCAAGGAAATATGGTCAGCCTAACTATGTCCAGATAACTCGCTGCCCACTAGCTGAGGCCTGTCCTACCTTCCCATATGATATGGACATGACAAGCATTGTCAGAGGGAAGAAGAGGAAACAATAATGAAAATTGGGAGAGACTGTGAAGAGGAAAGTATAGGAAGAAGGGAGGTGGGGGAGAATAGGCAAGAGAGTTAAGAGAGGGGGGAATCCGAGAAGAGAGATGAGAGAGAAAGAAAACTGAGAGAGAGATAAGGACAGAAAAATGAGAGAAGGTGGTGGGAGATTGGGAGTGGGAAGAGGGAAAGAGAGCCTCGGGTGCAGCTGGGTACTCTATCTTTTTATGGATAGCACAAAAGTCCATGATCACTAATGCATTGTGTGCTGCAACCTTGGAATTCTGTCACAGGGTGAATTCTGTGAGAGAATTCCAAGGTTGCAGCAGAAACTGTGACTGATCTCCAGATTTCCAATTATTATGCAGTGTCGATCGTCTCAGTGAATAGTGATGATACTAACGTATTAAGTAATAGGTGAGGTTAGCACTATCTATGCTTGTTAGGAATAACTAAATGAATTGCGTTCGTTTGCATAGTGAACTTACTAATAGCTTAATTTTCATTGTGCATTAAATCTCACAATTGACTCAAAGCATCGAACAAGACACCTTTTTCAATTAAAATTACAAATATTTTACTCATTTCCTAAACACTTTGTATATATTATGGAGACAGGAATTTAGCTGTCATGTAAACACACTTATATTACTGTTATATTAAAAATAACAAACAAAGAAAGCAAAATTAATTTACAGTAATCTGAAGAGTTTTGCTGAATTCTTTACAAGTATCAACGTTACAGAGTGGACGTCGAGGATGTCCTGGAGGGACTGGATGGGCTGAGAGATGTGCCTAACAGCCAGGAGAGCCATGAGGTTGCCGGCGTAGCTCTGCGTCAACACCACCGTCACCAACCCCCACACTGCCAGCACCGCCCGCTCCCACCACCTGCTCCTCTTCATCAAAACACCTGGTGGTAAAATATTTTCGTTTTAGCCTGAATCGACTTCTGCATATAGTGCGCTGAAATAATATAATCAAGATAAATGATGCAGCACAATATTTTTAGAGTTGCTTAGTCTTTCTTAGAAGTTGAATTGCAGTCGCTCTTGCTGACGGGTGATATATAATACTTTAATATAACTCTACTTTTAAAATATCAATGCATTGTCTTCAAACATGAAATATCATTGTCAATAAGCTACGTAGCTCGTGCCGTTAATTTTTATTTAGGCAGTAATATTAATATTGATTAACTAATACGAAGGATTACAGTGGAGTTAACACAGAATCTGATAATAACACAAAACTAGTTAAGGAATGCTTATGACGTATAACCCATATAATACGCAAATTGTGAGCAAACACTTGGCAATTGCAGTATTAAATAAATACACTGATGTCTTTTGGACGTAAGAGCAACACACACTGTTATCTGCCAAAATTCTTCACTGATTGCTTTGAAACTCTGATACAACGTTCCATTCGAATATGCGCATGCTTTTATATGCCTACTATATTGATGCCACACCTGCGAGAGGTAAAAACATAATTTAAAGAAAAAACATCGCCATCTGTTGAACATAATAGCAACACACACACGCTATACTAAATATGTCAGGATTTCCACTTCAGTGTTTCCGAGGTCATCAATAAATTGAATTTTCATAGATTTCGATTTATTTTAATTTTGATTTAATTATTTTGTGTGACATTGTGTTGGAATGGAGCTGTGTTATTTACCACACCCCTTCGTTATCTTGAGAGAGGTTATCTTGAGATGATTTCGGGGCTTTTAGTGTCCCCGCGGCCCGGTCCTCGACCAGGCCTCCACCCCCAGGAAGCAGCCCGTGACAGCTGACTAACTCCCAGGTACCTATTTACTGCTAGGTAACAGGGGCATTCAGGGTGAAAGAAACTTTGCCCATTTGTTTCTGCCTCGTGCGGGAATCGAACCCGTGCCACAGAATTACGAGTCCTGCGCGCTATCCACCAGGCTACGAGGCCCCTAAGTATAAGTGTAAGTGTATAAGTGTTCGTTTCATAAGTATAAGTGTAGATGCCACACTTGTAAAAGGTAAAAACATTCTTCTATTTTTAATAAACAGCGCCATCTGTTGCATGTCACAGCCATACACACTATAATAAATATGTTACGATTCCATTTCAATCTTTCCGATTGTATTGACAAATTAAATTTTCATACGTTTCAATTTTTTTTCATTTTGGTTTAATTATTTTGTGTGATATTGCGTTAGAATTCAGCTGTGTTTTTAACCATACCGTTCATTTCGTAAGTATAAGTATAGATGCCACACACCTGTGACAGTAAAAACATGCATTTTTGAAAAACAGCGCCATCTGTTGCACGTAAGAACAAGTCACGCTATACTAAATATGTTACGATTCCATTTCATTGTTTCCAAATTCATTGATAAAATGAATTTTTATAGATTTCGGATTATTTTCATTTTGATTTAATTATTTTGTGACACTGCCTTGGAATTGAGCTTTGTTGTTTACCATACCGTTCATTTCAACATAATAGTTAATTTTTTATTTCTTCATTGTTTTCCATTTCGTTTTTTAATTGTTTTTCTTACATTTTAGTGATGGGAACATCAGATCATTTGATGCTCACAATTTTCTGATTTGAACATCAGATCATTTGGGAATGCATCGGACCAGGGAGTGGGAAATGGTGGGGAGGACGAAGAGATGAGGGGTTGGGAATAGTGGGGACGAGGGGACAGAAGAATGGAGAATGATGGGAAGGACAAGGAGACAAGGGAGGAGACGGAAGAGTGCGGAGGACGAGGGAAAAGAGGAGAGGGGAATGAGAGGGAGGCCGGGGGGATGGAGGAGTGGGAGATGGAGGAAAGTACGAGGGGATGGTGGAGAGGGGAATAGTTAGAAGAACGAGGGGACTGTGGAGTGGGGATGGTGGGGAGGACACAGGGATGGGGGAGGGATGAAATGGTGGGGAGGAAGAGGAGACGGAGGAATGGGAAATAGTTGGGAGGACGAAGGGACGGGAGAGTGAGGAATAGTTGGGAGGACGAGGGCATGGGGGGAGGGGGAATGGTGGGGAGGAATGAAAGACAAGGGGGAAGGTTGTTGTGGCTAAGCAATGCATGGCCGGGTACAGCTAGTATATATATATATATATATATATATATATATATATATATATATATATATATATATATATATATATATATATATATATATATATGTCGTACCTAATAGCCAGAACGCACTTCTCAGCCTACTATTCAAGGCCCGATTTGCCTAATAAGCCAAGTTTTCCTGAATTAATATATTTACTATATTTTTTTTCTTATGAAATGATAAAGCAACCCTTTTCTCTATGTATGAGGTCATTTTTTTTTTATTGGAGTTAAAATTAACGTAGATATATGACCGAACCTAACCAACCCTACCTAACCTAACCTAACCTAAATTTATCGGTAAGGTTAGGTTAGGTAGCCAAAAAAAGCTAGGTTAGGTTAGGTTAGGTAGGTTAGGTAGATGAAAAAACATTAATTCATAAAAACTTGGCTTATTAGGCAAATCGGGCCTTGAATAGTAGGCTGAGAAGTGCGTTCTGGCTATTAGGTACGACATATATATATATATATATATATATATATATATATATATATATATATATATATATATATATATATATATATATATATATATATATGTCGTACCTAGTAGCCAGAACACACTTCTCAGCCTACTATGCAAGGCCCGATTTGCCTAATAAGCCAAGTTTTCATGAATTAATGTTTTTTCGACTACCTAACCTACCTAACCTAACCTAACCTAACTTTTTCGGCTAACTAACCTAATCTAACTTATAAAGATAAGTTAGGTTAGGTTAGGTAGGGTTGGTTAGGTTCGGTCATATATCTACGTTAATTTTAACTCCAATAAAAAAAAATTGACCTCATACATAATGAAATGGGTAGCTTTATCATTTAATAAGAAAAAAAATAGAGAAAATATATTAATTCATGAAAACTTGGCTTATTAGGCAAATCGGGCCTTGCATAGTAGGCTGAGAAGTGCGTTCTGGCTACTAGGTACGATATATATATATATATATATATATATATATATATATATATATATATATATATATGTCGTATATATATATATATATATATATATATATATATATATATATATGTCGTATATATATATATATATATGTCGTACCTAATAGCCAGAACGCACTTCTCAGCCAACTATTCAAGGCCCGATTTGCCTAATAAGCCAAGTTTTCATGAATTAATGTTTTTTCGTCTACCTAACCTACCTAACCTAACCTAACCTAGCTTTTTTGGCTACCTAACCTAACCTTACCTATAAATATAGGTTAGGTTAGGTTAGGTAGGGTTGGTTAGGTTCGGTCATATATCTACGTTAATTTTAACTGCAATAAAAAAAATTGACCTCATACATAGAGAAAAGGGTTGCTTTATCATTTCATAAGAAAAAAATTATAGTAAATATATTAATTCAGGAAAACTAGGCTTATTAGGCAAATCGGGCCTTGAATAGTAGGCTGAGAAGTGAGTTCTAGCTACTAGGTACGACATATATATATATATATATATATATATATATATATATATATATATATATATATATATATATATATATATATATATATATATATATATATTATTAAATATGACCGAAAAAGTAAGATTAATAATTCTAACACGAATTTTCTCGATCTTTCGTACGTTTCTTTTCACTGTTGGTGGTAATTCAAAAATCAATTCTCCAAAATTCATTTTTATTTCTAGTCTGACGCGACACTTGAGCGCGTTTCGTAAAACTTATTACATTTTCAAAGACTTTATCTTACACATACACAACTGAATAGAACTTACACATCTTCGATTTGTTTATATCTACATTTGAGTGAGGTGGATGGGGTGAGGTGGTATTAATAAGGTATTAAATTCCTAAACACAAGACAGAACTCGAAACAATGGGTATTGAATGGAAGTGATTTGTAGAAAGCCTATTGGTCCATATTTCTTGATGCTTCTATATTGGAGCGGAGTCTTGAGGTGGGTAGAATATAGTTGTGCATTAATTGGCTGTTGATTGCTGGTGTTGACTTCTTGATGTGTAGAGCCTCGCAGACGTCAAGCCGCCTGCTATCGCTGTATCTATCGATGATTTCTGTGTTGTTTACTAGGATTTCTCTGGCGATGGTTTGGTTGTGGGTTGGTCTCTTCCCACAACCAAACCATCGCCAGAGAAATCCTAGTAAACAACACAGTAATCATTTGTGAGGTAGAATATAGTTGAGGTGGGTAGAATATAGTTGTGCATTAATTGGCTGTTGATTGCTGGTGTTGACTTCTTGATGTGTAGAACCTCGCAGACGTCAAGCCGCCTGCTATCGCTGTATCTATCGATGATTTCTGTGTTGTTTACTAGGATTTCTCTGGCGATGGTTTGGTTGTGGGTTGGTCTCTTCCCACAACCAAACCATCGCCAGAGAAATCCTAGTAAACAACACAGAAATCATCGATAGATACAGCGATAGCAGGCGGCTTGACGTCTGCGAGGCTCTACACATCAAGAAGTCAACACCAGCAATCAACAGCCAATTAATGCACAACTATATTCTACCCACCTCAAGACTCCGCTCCAATATAGAAGCATCAAGAAATATGGACCAATAGGCTTTCTAAAAATCACTTCCATTCAATACCCATGGTTTCGAGTTCTGTCTTGTGTTTAGGAATTTAATACCTTATTAATACCACCTCACCCCATCCACCTCACTCAAATGTAGATATAAACAAATCGAAGATGTGTAAGTTCTATTCAGTTGTGTATGTGTAAGCTAAAGTCTTTGAAAATGTAATAAGTTTTACGAAACGCGCTCAAGTTTTGCGTCAGACTAGAAATAAAAATGAATTTTGGAGAATTGATTTC